AGTGGTGAGGTGAGATTTAGCAGCTGTGTGAGGGCAGTTTATCTTTTTACTGCTGGCCAAATTGCAAGACACAGGTGGTTTCTGGTAATTAGGAGTTTCTGGAGGAACCAGAAACTTATAGTTCTTAAGATGGCTTTGTCTAAGCCAATATTTCTAATGGCTCCCAACACCAGTCCACCACTCACCTCTCAGCCTCAGTTTCCCCAGCTGGGGACTGGACCAATGATGCTCAGCCTCTCAGGTCACAGTCCACAGGAACCCGAGGCTGGCATGGCCTAGGCTACAGTCACTGCATCTGTCACCTTCAGGAACACAGGAGAAGGGCAGGGACTTTCGATGGGGTGTCCTCTCCACAGGGGCTCACATCCAGCACCCAGCCCAGAAGGGTCAAGCTCATAGTTCTCATTCTGGGAAATGAAAGTGAAAGCTAAACTGTCCTCCTCCTGCAGATGCCGGGGTTTGGACCTTTTCATTGGTCAGCATAGATCCCATGCTAATAAGGGGGCAGTTCCAACACGTAGAAAGTTCTACCTTTCTTTCCGGACTCCCAACCAGGCTCCACTGCATCCGTCTGGATGGCACCCACTTTTTACTGCCATCCCCCTGTGCCCATGGATGAGTACCCCAAGAAGCTGGGGGACCGAAAGCTGCCAGTGCGGGAGGGGATTGTGGGGATCCTGCTGGGCCTCCTGGTGGTCGGTCTGTCTGTGGCAGTAGGCGTTTTGGCTGCCAAGGCCAATAGCCCAGCTTGCAAGGATGGCCTCCGGGCTGATTTCACGGCATACCATGTGCATAAGCAATCCAGGAGAAGCGTGCTACACTTACAACCCAATGTTCAGCTATTTCAAGTCAGAAAGAAAATTCTATCCTGTCAAAGGGGCAATGCTGCCACTTGCAACCAGACTGTGGTAAGTCATTGCCCCTCCTAGAGAGGGCCCTGTGCTTGGGGGACCCCAGGGTCTGGGTGCTTGGGGACCCCCAGGGTCTAGGTGGATCGAGATAGACCTTGAAACTGCCCCTAGGCCCCTGCATGGGGAGCCTGAATTTCCCCACCAGGGTTTTAGGGAGCTCTAAACTCTCTCTGGGGTGCCAGTGTGGGACTCCAGAGCACCCAGTAAGGGGCCTCAGTATCCCCAGTAGGATGTGTATGGATCTGCAAACTCCAGGACATTGGTCTAGGGCAGCTGGGAACTCCCCCTGGGCACAGTCTTAGGGAAGCAGAAATCCCTCTGGGGGTTGGGATGGGGACCCCACCAGACTCTGAAGAAGGCAGGGGCTTTATTTCTAGTTTTTATTTATTGGTTTTAGAGAGAGAGGAAGGAAGAGAGAAAGAGGAACATTGATTGTTGTTCCACCAATGGATGTATCATTGGTTGAGTCTCAGTATGTGCCTTGACCAGGAATAGATCCCACAACGTTGGCATATTGGGATGACGATCTTACCAACTGAGATACGTGGCCCTGGCAAAGCAGGGGCTCTTGATACTTCCACTGCATTCCTGAGAGGCAGCATTTTAACTGGGGTCTTGATGTGGGGGACCTTGAAAGTCCCACTGGACATCTAACTTGGGTTCAGAAATACCACAGTGTTCCGGGTTTCAGGGGACGTCTAACTCTTCTTGGACAATAGCCCAGGGGATCTGAACATTTTTTCTAGGCTTTGGGCCAAGAGAGCCTCCAAATTCCTAGGGAGGGGGGACTTGAAACTCCCATTTAGAGGATCACACCCTGGAGGGTGGAGACAGGTTCAGAGAGGGTTGGCAGGAATCCTGAAAGGGGTTTGGGCCTGAGCCCCTCTAACTCCAGGGCCTGGAGAGGGGGTCAGGGCCCAGGGACAGCAGCCAAGCCCACCAGGGACAAGAACCCCAGTTTGCTACACCCTTACTCTTCCCGGCATCCCAGGAGACCCTGAAGATTTCCCTGGAAAAGCAACAGGAGCTCTTCCTACAGAAGCTTCAAGGTGAGAAAAACACAGGCCCAGGTCACAGTCAGGGAGTTTGTAGGAGCCGGTCAACCCGGTTGCTCAGGGAGTTTGCAGGAGCCGGTCAGGTATTGAAGAGGAGGGAAGGGGAGGGCCTCTGGATTGGGGTCCGAGGGACAGGACCAAAGCCAGGGGAAGCAGAAGGGGCGGGCAAGCCAGACTTCCAAGGTGCACTCACTCAATGGTGGACTAGAAGCGGGGTCCTGTCCGGGGGTGGGGCCAGTTGAGCAGCGTGGCTACGGTGCCCTCACACTCTCTGTCCCTCCTTAGAGGAGATCAAGACATTGAATCAGTCGCTGAAGGAGAAATCCGCGGAGCTGGAGGAGAAATCCACGGAGCTGGAGAAGAAATCGGAGGAGCTGGAGCAACTAAGGTCAGGACACCCACCCACCCAGGCCACGCCCCTTCCTCCTTCCAACCCCAAGACCTAGGATCCCCTTGGCTCTGAAAATTCCCATTGCCCTGGGGACAGAGTTGGAGTCCCAGCCTTGTCCCTCCAGTCACCCAACTCTGGGTGGCAACCAGCCACTCCCCTGCCCAGTGACCTGGTGAGGACGGAGAAGAGATTTTGAGGAGCTTTGAGCCCAGCACCAGTGCAGCCAGACCTGGCAGCCTCCTGAGGTGTCCCCATCTCCTCCTCAGAAAAGAGAATGAGGCCTTGGTCTCTGCCAAGGGTCCCCCCAACTCCGGAATCACCCTCAGTTTCTCCGTGGTCGCTGTGCTCCTGCCCATGAGCCTCCTGGCTCTGCTGGCCTGAGGTCCCAGGAAGCCTGCAGGTGAGGAGGGGGCTGGAGAGGGATGGGAGGAGGTAGGGACAGTCAGGGTCTGGGGTGGTGGCCTGCCTGCGGGGAGGGGCTGGGCGCTGGGGAGAGAGGAACCTCAGTGAGGAGCTGTGGGGGCAGAAATAGGACAGTGAGGACCAGCTATGTTATCCTATTAATCGTATCTGTTAACCATGACTGTTCCCTTCCGATCAGGCACATTCTAACCTGGCTGAGAGCTGTTTGCCCAAGGACATGGGGATTAACCTCAGAATGCAGTCCAGGCTCCTTTTCTGAGAGTTTCCTGTCGTCTTGGAAAGATAACAACCTGGTCCCAGATTGTTTAGCAATCTATCCTAATAAATGTTCATAAAATTCAACCCTGTCTCTGCTCAATAATTGACTCAAGGAGTGACAGGCACCCAAGCCTATCTGTGTCGGTTTCAGAGGGAGGGGTCCAGGCAGGAGTGGGTGAGGCTCATGGAGCAGCTGGGTGAGTTCTGTCTCCTCCATCCTGCCCTGACTCGGCCTTGTCTCTTAGGCCACCACCTGGACTCGCCTGTTTCCCTCTGGGTTTCCCTGACCTGGCTGTTCTGAGGGGCACATGGCTGTGGGGAGGGGATGGTTAGGGGGAGGCCAGGGTCCAGGTGGCAGGGGGTGGTTCATGGGGCAGCCTTAGAGGTGGGGAAGCATCAAAGTTGGCCCAAAGTTGCGCCCTCACCAACTCCAAGCTGGTCAGGTCATTAAGTGGGAGGGGCCATCTGTTCTTTGTTGTCCTGGTTTCTGGAAGGTAACTTCTTCTGGGGTCTTTGGGTTCCTCAAAATAAGCATCCCCTTTGGGGGAAGGAACTCACTCTGTAATTCCAGGAGGATCACTGTGTCAGTCCCAAGCATCTGAGACCCCGTGATGTCTACACCAGCCTCCTTGCTCCAGAATGTTCCCAGAAGCCCACAGGGTTTAGTCAGGAACCACCCCACTCCCTACCCAGCCCTATTTTCTGATGGATTCACCCTAAAGGACTGTCACCCTTCCCCACCCCCATCGGTGCTCACTCAGTGCTCAGCATTCTAGTATTTTTTTAATTTTTTAAATATATTTTATTGATATTTTACAGAGGAGAAGGGAGAAGGATAGAGAGTTAGAAACATCAA